TTTCTTTTTTGGAGGGAAGGCCACATGTCGAGTTTCTTACTTTCTTCTGACTGCAATTGCATGCAACATCACCAATGTGCATATGGCAGGCGTTACACAAAGCTGTCGGAATCCAGCATTTGCGAGAGCATGTACATGTACAGGGCTTGGGAGCATGGTCAAATAAGGGTCCTTGATGGTCTCCTCTCAGACTTGCTTCACCGGTTCCTTGTCGTGGGAATCTCCTCAATGCAATTGAAGCAATTTAAGGGATTCCCAGGATCATCATCATCATTTATAGTTTAGTGATTAATAGGCAACTCGGTGATCAAGACACCTGGGCCTGATGGCTTAAGTACGAGTAATGGCAGTATTTAGAAGTGGTTCAACGGAAACATCACATAATGCTTAACAGTAGTTTATTTACACTTAACCACTAATACAATATATATTGTATTACTGATTTCTTCTAGATTGACATCAGCAAGGCTATTATCGCATTAGCAAGACTCTTGATATCTAATCAATTCCGATCTACTCGTGAACAAAACCTAGCTTAACACGATTGACAGCCAATCACTAACACGGCATACCTAACAGTGCTGGTGTGCAAAGAGTCACAAGAATTCCAAACAAGATACTTGGGCAATAATGATGCACAATACTAATGTCACACAATAACTAAATGTGTAATGTATGTGAAGCTCGCATTCACAGATGGGGTGTAATGTCGTGATACCATACAGATAAACACGTGTACACCATCAGGTGTCTTAGTCTCCACCTATACCTATGTCAGGTATTGAGAAGGTGAGAACTCCGGTTGATCACTCAGATCAACACACAGAAAGACACGTTAATAAGAAAACAAGATCTTGTACTTTTAGGTAGGTTAACCCTCACCATTCACTCAGTCATTCATGCAAGCATCTTCATAGGTGGCCTGACAGCTGGTTTCGCTCGTGTACGACGTGAGAGCACCATAGGATGACAGGCTTTCCCAACACGGCGGGGTACTCTTAGGAGGCATGCTCTCTCTCTGCACTGACGACAGGTGGTATCTTATGTAGACACTTGTAGATAAAGAACACAGACGCCCCAAAATCGCATTGGCGCATGAGGTAAGGGTGGGTCAGGCAATGACGTCATGTAGTACAGTGAGGGCGGAGCAGGCGATGGCGGCGGCACACGTAATTACCTAAGTGTAGTTACAGGATGAGAGCAATCATAGTTACGTGTGAGGGACTTTGAGTGGTGGCAGCGACTAAGCTATATTATACAATGCAGGTGCCTGTGTATAAAGTCACACAGAATACTTAGGTGGCAGCACTTTCCTTAGTTCACTCTAGGTCACCGAGTCACAGATGATCTCAATCTCACTTTGTCACCAGGGGTTACCAGTCTGTTTCATTTGGGTGTTTCACAGACTTTTGTCACTCTCGAAGACTTCTAAAACAATATTGTCACAGTCGAGAATCTAGGCGAGTGCTGGTATATTGAAAGAGATGCAGAGAATAATTTGACGGTAAGGAACGAATGGGATTTTTTATCTATTGGCCGATAGATAGAATGACATGTCAACCATGTACAAAGTTCCTCACAAGACTGTCTGTGCAAGGGCTTCCTTGAGCATAACCACCAGGCCTACAAACTAATCATATAGCGTTGTAGCACAGGTGCCGGATCCAATCATATTGTCCCTTACAAGATGGGTAGAAAAGTGATGCCATGACCACGTCACGACTACGTCACAGTTCCCCTTCGCGAAGGTTGGGGTTGACCCAAAGATCACGGTTTTATCTCTTCTGCCGCGTCGGCATTCCTTCTTCCATCGCCTAGCACCTTCCATCCTTTGTATTCTCTGACCATTGTTGCTATTGCATAAATGCTTAATTATCTAATTTCTCCCTAGGTATATGGTGGCCTCTACATGATCCATGTATTCCTGGGCATGTGGGAATTCTAAGGACACCTGACATGACAGTTTTCCATTCAGGGGTAAGAGAGAGAGAGAGATAGGCCTTATGCACTGCTTGGTGCACTGTGCACTGCAATAAGCCATTAAAGTCAGCTGTGGGGAAATTGGAGAGACCATTCTCTCACACCACTGTTGAAGATAGACTTACAACCTCCAATATCAGTCTTACATGAAGTATCCAATTGATAGTAGACATGGGTAACACAATGAAGTCTATCTTTGCTGTTTTCTCACCTCTACAACAATGGTCAACACAGCTTGCTCACAACTGAATGGTCTTGGGTTTGAATCCTGGGTGAGACGAGATGTTTTGAGTACATTTCCTTATAACTGATAACTCTTTTCACCAGGTATTAAATAGGTACAGTAATCAAGAACTACCTATTTACTCTGGCTCTGGCTATTTACCTGGCTCTCTTCACCAGGTATTAAATAGGTAGTCTAGAACTAACTATTTAATATCTAGTGAAAAGAGCTATCAGTTATAAGGAAATGTACTCAAAACATCTCGTCTTACCCAGGATTCAAACCCAAGACCATTCAGTTGTGAGCAAACTGTGTTGACCATTGTTGTAGAGGTGAGAAAACAGCAAAGATAGAACTGCTTCGACAATTCAGCTCCACTCGGACTGCTCCCAGGTGGTTCATTGCCTGAACTGAGGGGGTTCAAATACGGTCCTTGGCTCTTTGGGACTGGTCGCTTCGGGTAACTTGCCTGCTGAGTTTGGGGTTTGGCTCTCCTGGTGGTTCATATCCAGGGGGTGTCCAACGTCCTGGCAGACAGCCTAACTGGTTCATTGCCGTCCACAGAATGGACGGTCAACGCCGACTCGTTCCGTTGGCTATGCCGGATGTTCGGGCACCCCGGAGGTGGACCTCTTCGTATCTGCTTGGTCGAGGCCTTTTCCGGTATATGTGGCACCCTTCCCCGACTGCAAAGCTGTTAGGGTCGATACTTTTCGACTGGACTGGTCAAGGTGGTGTTTCCTGTACCTCTTTCCCCCCCCCCCCCCCCCCCCCCTACCAGTTAGGCTGTTGCTCCAGATCCTGGCTCACTTGGAGACTTACCAGGGGAGAGTAGTCCTGTTGACCTCTTGGTGGCCAGCCCTGCCTTGGTTTCAGGCGCTACTTGCTCGGTGTCCGAACCCCAAAGTGGACACTCTACCCCTGCTCTACCCCCGCTCTACTTCTTTCAGCAGTAGTTTGCGGCTTTGGCTGCTGTGCTGGGTAATATGTCCTAAGCTAACATTTGGGCACAAGGCTTTGGAGGTCAAACAGGGTCCTGGCTACACCGTACCTCGTTAATGTTCCTGGCCCTTCTCAGGCTTGTGTAGCCTTGGGTTGCAGGTTGCAGCCAGTCTCAACTTCGAGTTGAAGAGCGAGTGGCGGCCACCTCCCGGGTAAGTCCTTCTTTTCCTTATCTTTAGTTAGGTAGCTCTGGGGGAGCCAGAAGGGCTTTCCACAGAAAACCGGCATTGAATGTAATGAAGTGCCATTTTATAAGTGAGACCCGGAGGCTCCCTGGCATCCCTCCCTCCCTCCCAGTTGGCGGTTGTTTCGCATCTTTTTATATTCATCCTCTGAACTGGGGTTGGGTAGCTGGCATGGGAGTTCTGGGACTCCCCCTTTCCCCCACCCTGGGAGGAGGGGAGTTGCGCAGACAGCAGCGGCTGTGGTGACATCATGCTTGTTTGCTTGTTTTCTAATTGGGGAGTTCTGCTCACTCTTTCGGGTTTTGTTTAGCAATTTTTCACCAGCTGTAGTTTTTGGTATTCCTACCTTTCTGAGTGCCTGACCTGATATAGATGGCAGATATAGACTGCTTCCAATTACACGGGGGATGTCTATAGGTCATTGCTCCTCGTGCTTCTCTGAGGGGGTCAGGTTCTGGGTCGTGGTCCCCAGTAGGCTTAGAACTCCATCGATTGACTGTTGCCACAGTATAAAATATACACATCAGCCCGGTATAGCTCCGTGAAGCCTCCAGGTTTCGCCCAGAAAATGGCATTTCATTACATTCAATGCTGGTTTTTTGGCGCACATGTTCTAAGCTTGAATTTATGGCCTCTAGCTCTTGACTTTGCTGGTTTAAAAGACACTCTTGTCACCTGCATTGAGTCTTGCCACAAATCTGCCTGTCCTGATATCACCCCTTTTATCTTGAGGTTATATTGAGATGATTTCGGGGCTTAGCGTCCCCGCGGCCCGGTCCTCGACCAGGCCTCCCTTTTATTACACACCCCCAGGAAGCAGCCCGTAGCAGCTGACTGACTCCCAGGTACCTATTTACTGATAGGTAACAGGGGCATCAGGGTGAAAGAAACTGCCCGTTTGTTTCTGCCTCCACCGGGGATCGAATCCAGAACCTCAGGACTTTGAATTCGAAGCGCTGTCCACTCAGCTGTCAGGCCTTCCTTATATTTATTTGCTTGGGTATGTATAATGCCTCCAATCACTCTTCATAGGTTTGTTGTAGTCCAGAAGTCATTTAGTAAGCTGTCATTGCAACTTTTCTTGTTTATTTATGTGCTTCTTGTTTGGTGTCCATATCTGAACTATATAATCTATTTTAGCTTTTAATAATGTCATAAACAATTCTTCATTTCTCCATTCAAAACTTTAAAAGTGAATTGTGTTTTAAATGAACAAATCCACAAGGGCCGTGACGAGGATTTGAACCTGCGTCCGGGAGCATCCCAGACACTGCCTTAATCGACTGAGCTATTACAGGGTTAAAGCGTACAAAGCGTAACTCAGTCGAGTAAGGCAGTGTCTGGGATGCTCCCGGACGCAGGTTCGAATCCTCGTCACGGCCCTTGTGGATTTGTTCATTTGATGCATCACGTTATTGTGATCTCTGTGTGTGAATTGTGTTTTTCTCAAAGTGAGAATAATGTGTGAACGTGAGAGTTTGTATATACATATATGCGAGTGAATATTTTGTGCATACGCTGTATATGTCTTATCAGCATGACAAGAATGTTGTTTAAGATCTTTGTTGTAACATCATTACATCATTTGTAACCACCTCTTGCATTTGTAGACTTGCCGAGTCTGCAGTGGATCTGAACCTTAAATTAATGCGGTGGAGAGTAGCTCCGCAGCTTGATTTACCCATCATCCAAAACACACGGTGCCTTCTCTTGGGTTCGGGGACACTTGGTTGTTCTGTGGCACGGTGCCTTTTGGTGAGTCCACGCATGCTTTGTAAACTTGTAGTTCAAATGTGGCTATGCTTAATTTTTTCTAAGGCCACTAAATATTGTTTATATAATTTTCTATGAGGAGCCCCCTCTGGCTCCCTGGAGCTATCAGATTGGTATGTGTTAGTCTGGAGCATCAGTCAATTGTAGTTCAGCCTACCGAGGACCACAAGCCAGAACCTGGACCCCTCAGAGTGGTACAGAGAGCAGTGGCCTATGGAAACCCCCATGCATTTATGGGCATTCCATGTCTGCCATCGACCGGGGTTAGCACTCGGAAAGGTAGGCATAACAAAACATACCCCACATGGTAAGAAAATTGCAACCAAACAGAGAAGCAGAACTCCCCCTACTTAAAGAAACAAGCAAACATCACGCGCAGCCACCATGCCACTTGTCCGCACAGCCCTTCCCTTCCCAGGAGAGAAAGGGAGGAGCCCTGAATCCTCGGTGCCAGCTACTCAACAACTTCAGTTCGTAGACTGATGTGGTCCAGGGCAGTCGTTGACTCTGGCCTCAGATTCTGGGCAGTTGTGTACTTTAGTGGTGTGTGTTCTGCTGTGTGTGAGGCACGGTGGCCAGGAGAAATTTAAGAGTACTTGGACTTCATGTGCTTACGGTTTTCTTCCCTAGGCGCCCTGTAAGTACTACCCTTAGGTTCTAGGGTTCTCTTCCATAGAACTTTCGGGAACCGCTTCCGTGGGGGTCTTTGCTGCTTGGCAATTGCCCTGCCCTTGAGGCCAGCTGAGGTTTTCGTAGCCTTTGTTTGGCCTTGGTTAGGAAGTGGTATCGTTTGCTGGTAGGGGTGCAAGATACTGGACAACTCGCCTACGTACTCAGTGGCCTGTTTCTGTTCCTTCTGGAAACATTGTCCTTTTGAGGGGTTTGTATTTTTTGTTTTCCTTGCCTGGAGGGGGTTTGCCTGGTTTAGTTATTGGTCCACTTCTGCTGTGTTGGTGGCCCTCCTCTAGGCCCTCATGATTGTACACGTTGCAGGGGGGTCAGCTTTAGCAGCTTTCCATATTAGTTTGGGCCTTGCCAGTTTTCCAGAACCTTGCCTGGGTTTCCCATAGCAGTCAGCCTGCTGCATGCCCTGGAAATCCCTATTAGGGGGTCATTAGACTGATGGATGCATCTTCTGATTTCTACCTTGCCTCGGGCAAGTTTGAGGGTTGCTATATCTACAGTCGACCAACAAATTGGGTCACATCTGACCCGCGCCACATTTATACCTGGTGCCACCAACAGCTAAACACAGAAAACAACTGCCTCGTAGCAGTACCAAGCATCAGCTGATGCCTTAAACACAACACACCGCCCTACGGTGCGGCAAGTCTCCCTCTAACATACACCTCTGTTTTAGTCGCCACTCGTCTGTCTACAGCACAACGCAACAAGCACTTTTGAAACTCTTATCATCCTCAACATAAACGCCTCTACCAACCTCTGTACTGGTGCAGTCATCAGGAGGACAAACCCTTCATGCAAACTGCACCTACTATCAAGAAGAAGAGGGTTGCTGTGTGCCCTTGTCTCAGGGTGACAGTCACCATTTTTGCTTCCGTCATGCTACCTGTTGGGCCAACAACATCTTTGACCTGGAGTCTTGCAAGTCGTGCTCTCTGCTTGTTCTTCAATTTACCCATTCTAATGACATTGATATTTGGGTACAGGCAGCATCCGCATTGCATGCTAGGTTTAGGTTGCTGCAATGCACTAGGCTGGTTGCCAACCCGGATGCCCCGTGGTTGCCCTGTTTTGGTTATAGGGACCCAGACTTGAGGGTGAATTAGTTGCCTCGACTCTGGTTCCGTCCACGCTCCCTGGTCCTTTCCCTGTTGTTTATCCTACTACCCGCTTTCCCTCCCCCTTCCCTGTTCCCGGCTCCCAAACATTTGAGGGTTTCGAAGTAGGGACAGGGTTTAGTTGGTAATGAGACTCGGGCAGCTTCGGGGGCTGCCCCATTCGGGTTGTGGACAGAGGCATTTAAGTCGGTTCCTCCTGCAGAGGCATCTGGGTCCCACCGGCAGGCCCCCCCCCCTTCTTTTCTGCCTTTTCCCAGGATTCTGCCTTTTGCTCACTACTTGGTCCCACAAATCATTAGCATTTTGGGTTGTATCCTCTGACTTGTGGTGGTATTAGGCGGCGGCGGCTCCCCCTGGGGGTTCAGGACTCACTGGGCAGGCTTCTTCCCCCTGCGTTCCGTCAGGTCATCTTGGAGTGGGTGCACTTATAAATAAATAAATAAATAATTAAATAAATAAATGTTTATTCAGGTAAAGTACATACATACAAGAGGTTTTACAAAAATTGATAGATTATAGATAGAGCTAGTACATACAATGCCTAAATCCACTATTATGCAAAGCGTTTTGGGCAGGATTTGGGCTTGAGCTTGATCAAAATGACCCCGTCCCTCAGGTGGGTTTATTGCCTGTTTCCAGTACCGAAATGGGGCTGTGCGGATCTTCAGTTCATTCTGGACTTGTCCCGAATGAATTCCTTGGATTCCTTGCCCCTCCTTTCGCATGACCACTCTGTCTCGGGTCTGGCTTCTGTTGGATTTGGGGGCCCCGTCCCTCAGGTGGGTTTATTGCCTGTTTCCAGTACCGAAATGGGACTGTGCGGATCTTCAGTTCATTCTGGACTTGTCCCGAATGAATTCCTTGGATTCCTTGCCACTCCTTTCGCATGACAACTCTGTCTCGGGTCTGGCTTCTGTTGGATTTGGGGGCATGGATAGTCTCCCTGGACCTCAGGGATACATATTGGCATGTTCCTATCATCCGGGGTTCAGGGACTGGTTAGGTTTCATTGAAGGGCATCAGGTTTACCGGTTTCATTGCCTTCCTTGTGGCTTGACTCTGGCGCCTTGCGTGTTCACACGTCTTACCCGGGTCATGGTGACCCATCTGCGTCTACTAGGGGCTCAGGCTCTGGCCTACCTCAACGACTGGGTAGTCATGTGAGGTAGGCCTGAGGCTCCCCCACTGGGTAGTCGGGGAGCCCTTGATCTGGGCTCCCAGCTGGTCTGCCTGTCTGCTCACCATGGGTGTGGTTCTTTCCCAGCTCACTGGGTTTGGGTTCCTGGTAAACTGTAGAATATCCTATCTGGGTCCGTCCCAGGTTCGGGACTGGTTAGGTTTCGTTGTGAGGTGTCAGGCTTACCGCTTTCATTGCCTTCCCTTTGGCTTGAATCTGACAGTTTGCGTGTTCACATGTCTTACCCGGGTCGTGGTGACCCGTCTGCGTCTGCTAGGGATTTGGGTTCTTACCTACCTCGACTGGTTGTGGGCTCTCAGTCGGTTTCCCTGTCTGCTCGCCAGGGGTGTGATTCTTTCCCAGCTTGCCGAGTTCGGATTCCTGGTGAACTGGAGGAAGTTCCATCTGGTTTCGTCCCAGGTTCGGACCTGGCTGGGTCTTGTGTGGAACCACTTCCTTGTCTTTCCCTCTAGTCATTGCTGCAGCTGCAGTCCCACCTTCAGCTGTTTCAGTGGGGGTTCCCTGGTCACTCAACAGTTGCTTGAGCAGTTGTGTGGGATTCTAAACTTCGTCGTGCTGGTTTACCCGCCGAGTCAGGTATGGCTTCAGCGTCTGTTCCTTTCTCACGATAGCTGGGCACGGCCTCCGGGGGCCTTACGTCGGTTGCTGCGTCACCACCTTCCTTTTTGAGTTTTTTGGGGTTCATTACCATGGCTCCTACTCGAGCTCTCATTGGATGTGTTCACTGATGCCATTTCTCTTGGCTGAGGCTTTGTGGCCAGTGCTCACCAGGCCGGCCAGGGATGGTCGGGTCTGTCGTTCTGTCGGGTTCACAGCACAGTGCAGGAATTCATGGTGGTTTGGCTGTCACTTCGGAGGGTTCAAGTCGCTCAGGGCTCCATGATCTGGCTCCATTCAGACGGCTCTCCAATGGTTCATTGTCTAAACCGCGGGGGTTCTCGTCGGTTCTTGGCTTTTTCGGGCTGGTCGCTTCGAGTGACTCGTCTGCTGGATTCTCAGGGTTTGGCTCTCCATGCGGTTCATATCCAGGTAGTGTCCAATGTCCTGGCGAACGGCATTTCTTGGTTCATTTCCCTGTCCATGACATGGTCAGTTGACGCCGACTCCTTCGGTTAGCTCTGCCAGATGTACGAGCTCCCAGAGGTGGACCTCTTTGTGTCGGCGTGGGGGTTACCTGTACCTCTTTTCCCTGGTCCAGTTGTTGCTTTGGGTCCTGGCTCATTTGGAGACTTACCAGGGGAGAGTCATCCTAGTGCTCCCTTGGTGGCCAGCCCAGCCCAGCCTTGGTTTCAGGCGCTGCTTGCTCGGTGTCCAAACCCAAGATGTTTTCCGCGGCTCCGCCTCTTTCAGCTGATCGAACCAGTCCAGTATGTGGCTGGTTCGGTCTACACCTCTGCTCTTCGCATCTGGTCTTTTTAAAGCGGGTCTATCACCACTTGGATGGTGATCAGGTGGCCCTTGTTGATGGTGTCCCACTTGCGGGCTTTGTCTAGGCAACAATATGAAATTTCCTGGCATTCTTTTCGACATTTCCTTTCTCTTCGTAAGGTGTCTTCTATTTCTGATCGGGTTGTCTTGTCTTTTCTCTCTTGGCTTTTTCAGGACTGACATTTGATGCCGAATACTTTCGCCTTGTATCATGTGGCGCTGGTGGAGCCACTTCAGCTTGTGTTCGGGATGGATGTCACTTCTGCCTGGTCCATGAGCTTTCTCATGCTTTGTTTCACCTCCGGCATACTCATGCACTGCATGAGCATCCTGGTCCTTGGACAGGGTGCTCTCTTTTAACGCTTCTCGGTTTGTGGTGGCCCCTTCAGTTCAAGATGGTTTTTCCAAGGTTCTCTTTCTGTTGGCATTGGCCTCTGAGGGTTTGGGTTGGTGAGCTTCATGCTCTCCTCTGGTGCAGGGGTTTCTGCTCCTTCGGTCCTTGTGGTCAGTTTGTTCGGTTGCAGCTGTCTCCTTCTTTTCTGGCGAAGAATGAGTCTGCTGCTTTCCAGAGGGGTCCTTGGGTTGTTGATACTTGGTTGGTCAAGCCGGGGGTGCATCATGTGTTGTGTCTGGTTCGGGCTCTTCGCCATTATTTTCGCCCCTCGGGCTCAGTGACCGGGGACACGCTTTGGGTTGATCCAGTTTCCCTCATTTCCTTTTCCAGGGCTTGGGTCTCCCAGGTCATCTGCAGGGTTATAAATTAGCCAGCCTGCGGTCTATACTCGTGCTAATGACATTCGTAAGTTTGCTGCTTTGGCTGCCGTGTTCGGCAACATGTCTTGGGCTGACATTCGGGTGCGGGGATTTTGAAGGTCGAACCTGGTCCTGGCTGCTCATTATTTGATCAACGTTCCTGGTCCTAGTCGTTCGTGTGTGGCTTTGGGTCGCAGGTTGCAGCCAGTAATCTCGACTTCGGGTTGAGGAGTGAGTGGCAGCCGCCTCCCGGGTAAGTTCCTCTTTTACTTGTCTTTGGTTAGGTAGCTCCAGGGAGCCAGAGGGGCTTCCCATAGAATACCAGCATTGACTGTAATGAAGTGCCATTTTCTGGGTGAGCCCCAGAGGCTCCCTAGCACCCCTCCCTCTTGTCGGCAGTTTTTTGCGTGGGTTTTGATGCTTAGCCTCCAAACTGGAGTTGAGTGACCAGTGCTGGAGGTCCGGGGCTTGCCCCTTCCCCTTCTGGAAAGGGGAGGGCCGCACGAACAAGCAGCGCGGTAGCGGAGTGTGACGTTTACTTGTTTCTTTAAGTAGGGGGAGTTCTACCTCTCTGTTAGGTTGCAATTTTCTTACCATGTTAGGTCTGTTTTGTTATGTCTACCTTTCTGGGTGCTAACCTCGGTCTATGGCAGAAATGGAATGCTCCCAAATACACGTGGGTTTCCATAGACCATTGCTCCGTTTGCCTCTCTGAGGGGGGGCAAGATTCTGGCTCATGGTCGATAGGCTGAACTCTAATTGACTGATGCTCCAGACTAATATAACACACATCAGCCTGATAGCTCCAGGGAGCCTCTGGGGCTCACCCAGAAAATGGTGTTTCATTACATTCAATGCTGATCTTTTACATGTTAGATGTTCATGTATGGGATTATTGTGGAGGTCAAGTTCAAAATACTATAAAATGTAAACATAGTGCAGATGCCTAATACACATAATTGATGTGTGTAAAATGTGTTATATGCAGGTTATTAAGTAAGGATGAAAGTGTCACAAAGATATGGGGGTTCACAAGGTAATAAATTGTAACCTTAGAGAGAACATAACGAGTCTGTTTCGGCATTCAGTATTCAACAATTGGATGATAAACTAGTGAAAAAAAATATACTGTATTCAAGTTGATCTGTAGGTAGTGGTAGGAGAGGAAAGGTGGGAAGATGGGCAGATATGGCAAGTTTGAGGAAGCAGGGATTGAGTATGCAACTCTTCCTCTCATCTAACATATTGCAATTTTTAAGGAATAGACAAGTCCATAGAAAGTGTGATGTATTGTATAAATTAAACCACCATAATGTTGAATCTTTATTTTTTTCTGTGCATAGGCCTTGATAGGTGAGGTGGGTTGCTTGGGTTCGTATGTTTCTGGCTACGCAAAACAGTTGTATTTTGTATAAGGTGGTAAATAGAGAGGACAAGCTGGAGTGTAAACAGTACAAAGGATATAAGCAGGGAGAGAATATATTTGTGTGCATTTGGTAACAATTCACAATGAACATTGTTTGCTTGGTCTTAAAAAACAATAGATTGCTGCTGTGAATGATTGTTGAATTGTGGTGATTATATTAATCTCTGATACTCTAGTGTGGATTATGTAATGAATTGTATAAGTACTGTACTATTTTAAGACTTTTGCGCTCTGGACGCACGACCTCCCCACTACCCCAGGTCGGTTTGGGCGTTTCACGGGAGCACGCGGTAATTCTGAAAAGTGTTTACTCTTTTCAACTTTGTCACCTCAATTCTCGTCCTAAGATATTCAATTTAGTATCAATGTGTTCACAATAGAATTCTCTAGCAGAGTAAATGCATATGAAACAACAATGTGAATGTTTTATGCATTTACAACAATGTAAATGCATGTGAAACAACTCGCTTATCCTTCCACAAAATTATGAAAGTATTGTCCCTCCGTTCGAATACAGTTGTATCTAGCGGCAATTTACCCTTTGCTCGCTAGGATTTGAAGTAAGTTACTTTGTTACTTAGGCGCACCACGTTGCATTCTGATGGTACCACAGGTGTATACCCCTACTTCAAGCAGCAATTCACTCAATTGAACCAAATTATAATAGTTGTCCATATATAAATGGTAACCTTTGTTCTTCGGTGGTTCAATCAAGCCCATTACCGTTTCAATCGTCGTTTTCCCAATTCCGGCATAAATGTCAAAATCAAAGATGTAGCCGGTCTTTGATTCAGCTATCATGTAGAGCTTTATTCCATATATATCAGGTTTATTGGAATTATAGGTCTTGAAAGAAAGTCATGCCACGCCACGCCACGCCACGCCATGCCATTGTGCCTTCATCCAAACTCAAATTTTTCTGAGGAATGTATAATGTCTTGAATTTATTTGAGAGATATTATTTATTTGTGAGGCTGCTATTGAGCTTGAGCAGTATACTGTGTATGTCATAGTATCTACTGTATTCTATTTCCATAGGACACCTAGAGGAATGTTCGTCATATTGAATCAAGATATATAACACATATGATTGTAAAATTAAGGGTAATTTTGTTACTGGACAATATAGCTGAGTGGTAATGATTTATAATTTATTTTGTCTTGGTCCTGAGAATATTTTCTCATTGCTTCAGCCTTCTCTTTTTATCTTGCTAAATTTTTGTCTACTTTTTCCCATGGACATGTATTAATGCAGGCTTGGTTTGTTCAGCCTGAACATTGTCCAGTAACACATTTGTAGAGATATCTTTGTGGTCTCCTGCAGTGTTTCTTAATCTTTGCTTATCGTTTCCTTGTTCCAAATCTCATTTCATCTCAAGCCCTTTACACAGTGGTGAGGCTTTATCATCCCCCATGCTTTACCCCAGGTCTATGCCCTCAGGAAGTGTGTTATGTTAACTGCTTGCTTTTCTGCAATCAACTGCTCAGAGACTTGGGCTTGCAGATTCTGGAGGTTAAATTGCACCGTTATCACTAGAAACTTGATGAAGTTGTCACAGGTGGCTTTTTTTCTGCACTGCATTTGCAGTAATCATCTGATTACTGTTCAGCAATCTTGTTACCTTGGCACTGATACATCTCTTCATCGCAGTGTCTGCCTTCCATTAGATATTTGATAATTAAGAAACCAAGGGGCATTCATTGAGTGAAATTATATGCAATGTTACTTACTCAGCCACACTAAGTTGCTCCTGCACCCTCCCTTTTGTCGTGTCTTCAGTACGCATCCTTGCGTGACTTGAACACTAAGTGAGGTTGCTGCTGGGGGTGGCTGCTTTACCCAGTCAGTGGTGAGCAGAGTGATCTCAATATTTTTATTTATCATTTAGTTTAGGTTTTGTTGAATCTAATGTTCGGTGTTTTGGATGATGAGAAGATCTCTTGGTAGCGGATTGAATTATAATCACCAGTGTCTCCCTTCCCCAGCTATGTCACCAGATTATTTGGACTGGTAATTGTGGATGAACATATCATTAGAGCCAGGCAGGCAAAATGTTTGAAGATCCATATAGTCCTCTGGCCTAAGGGAGTAACAGAAAAAAAAAAGTGTTTGATTTCAAACGGTGCCCTATTTTTTTGGAGTCTTAACATTGTGGCATAAGAACGCACAAGTTTGGTGTATACATGGTGCAAACACCATGATGGTGTTTGCATTGTGAGATTGAAAGATTTCCATTGTGAGGGACGTTAGAAAGAACTTTTTTAGTGTCGGTAGTTAACAGGTGGAATGCATTAGGCAGTAATATGGTGCAGGCAGATTCCATACACATTTTCAAATGTAGATATGATAGAGCCCAATAGCCTCCAGAATCTGTACACCAGTTGATTGACAATTGAGAGGCGGGACCAAAGAGCCAGAGCTCAACCCCCACAAGCACAACTAGGCGAGTACAACTAGGTGAGTACAACTAGGTGCGTACAAATACTATTGACAGTACAAAGTTGTCAATTAAAACTGAACATTTTAATCATGGTAATGTTATATAATTTTGTACCTTTCAGGCTTGGGGTGTTCGACACATGACCCTGCTGGATAGTGGAAAGGTGTCGTATAGCAATCCTGTGCGGCAAAATCTCTTCACTTTCAAAGACTGCCTAAATAGCGGGAAATACAAAGCTTTAGCAGCTGCAGAAGCCCTTGCAGAGATCTACCCCAGAGTGGTAAGTAATGTTCCTAGTTCTGGCATCAAATACTAAATATCCCAAACCCTTGACAAGCATATTTACACTCAAGTAATTTTAGTTTTTAATGTGGACAAAACTCTACTACATGTTTACTTTTTGTTGTCAATCTTCAGAGGTTAATTTGTGGATTAATTTTATTGTTTTTATTTTGTATTACTGCTGATTATATACTGCTATTGTTGCTGCTGCTGTAACTGTTGCTATTGTTTTTGGTGTTCTTGCTCTGGATTTTGCTGTTCATCCTTGTCCTGCTGCTGTTGCTTGTCCTCGTCCTGCTGCTGTTGCTTGTCCTCGTCCTGCTGCTGTTGCTTGTCCTCGTCCTGCTGCTGTTGCTTGTCCTGTGCTGTTACTGCTTTACTACTAAGCTAATGCTTAAATATCACAAGACTATTATTCTTTTCTTCTTTTTATTATTCTACTAGAGTGTAGTAATTCCACAAATAAAACAAATTTGTTACTCCATTTCAACTCTCAATCAAAAATTCAAGGTTTGAATTCCTGGCGGGACAGAAATGTTTCGGTGTGTTTCCCATCACCTAATTCATCTGTTCACCTAGCAGTAAATAGGTATCCAGGAGTTGAGTCATTTTGTTGCAAGGTTGCATCTTGGAGAGGGGAGGGGTCCTTATTATAAGCCTAACATCTAATCTGTATATACACTGGCTGTCTGTCTCCTGACAATGAATCTATAAAAATTATGAATGATTATTATACAGTGGGAATCGTGGTTAAGTTTACAGGAAAACTTTAAATTTACCTGAACTCGCCAAACGTAATTATGAGGAAAAGCAGCAAGTAGGTATTACTACATGCATATACAGGTATATATATTGGGAATAATAATGTCTGACGACCTAACATTTAGGGAGCATAACCAAGCAAATATTGCGACAGCCAGAAAAATGATAGGATGGATTACGAGAACTTTCAAATCCAGGGATCCCATCACAATGGTTGTACTCTTCAAGTCACTTGTGTTGTCCCGTCTTGAGTACTGCTCAGTACTCACTTCCCCCTTCAGAGCAGGAGAGATTGCTGAAATAAAGGGGAATACAGAGAACATATACGGCACGCATAGATGCAATAAAGCACCTAAATTATTGGGATCGTCTCAAAGCCCTCCAAACGTACTCGCTAGAAAGAAGATGAGAGAGATATCAAATAATATACACCTGGAAGATACTAGAGGGCCAAGTACCAAATCTACACAGTAAAATAACAACGTACTGGAGTGAACGATATGGAAGAAAATGCAGAATAGAACCAGTGAAGAGCAGAGGTGCCATAGGCATAATCAGAGAACACTGTATAAACATCAGAGGTCCGCGGTTGTTCAACATCCTCCCAGCAAGCATAAGAAATATTGCCGGAACAACCGTGGACATCTTCAAGAGGAAACTAGATTTATTCCTCCAAGGAGTGCCGGACCAACCGGGCTGTGGTGGGTATGTGGGCCTGCGGGCCGCTCCAAGCAACAGCCTAGTGGACCAAACTCGCACAAGTCAAGCCTGGCCTCGGGCCGGGCTTGGGGAGTAGAAGAACTCCCAGAACCCCATCAACCATGTATCAACCAGGTATCAACCAGGTAGCACTTGGGAGGGATTCAATGACAAGGATCTGGGATAAGATGGAAGGGAAGGAAAAAATCAAATAAAAATAAAATAAAAGGTTTATTTAGGTAAGGTACATACATACAATAAATTATTACAAAGATTGGTTGACTTATAGGTAGAGCTAGTACATACAATGCCTAAAGCCACTATTACGCAAAGCGTTTCGGGCATGATAAACTTAAATGACAAGCTTAATACTAATTGAGCATAATGAGTAGAATGAAAACAAGAAATGAAAACATAGATGAAAAAGCAGCACAAATACAATTAAGTCGACAAACAGCGCTCATTAAAGAAAAACACATTGGTTGACAATAGAAGGGTAAGGTAGGTTACAGGGAATTTATTAGGTATAGCTTCATTTTTAACTTAAACTGGTTGAGAGAGGTACAGTCTTTAACATGGTTGGGAAGGTCATTCCACATTCTGGGCCCCTTGATTTGTAGAGCATTTCTAGTTTGATTAAGTCGTACTCTAGGAATATCAAAACTGTGTTTATTTCTGGTGTGGTGCTCATGGGTTCTGTTACAACCTTCTATGAAGCTTTTGAGATCAGGATTGGCATTATAGTTTAGCATTTTATATATGTATAATACACATGAGAGAATGTGCAGTGACTTAATGTCTAACATATTCAGAGATTTGAGTAGGGGTACCGAGTGATGTCTGGAGCCAGAGTTGGATATTGTCCTAATAGCAGCTTTGTGTTGAGTAATTAGAGGACGTAAGTGATTTTGGGTAGTAGAGCCCCAAGCACAAATACCATAGTTGAGATATGGATAGATAAGGGAGTAATAGAGTCACCAGGGCAGGGCGTGGTACATAATATCTGATCTTAGAAAGAATGCCCACAGTTTTTGAAACTTTTTTTGATATATTTAGAATGTGTCCCTGGAAATTCAGCTTGTGGTCAATGAGAATGCCAAGGAATTTGCCATCTAATTTGTTACAAGCCCAACTACTTTCATCATTGAGGATTGAATGCTGTCCTGCATTAAGCCCAGGCTGTCTCTGTATCGAGCAGTAAGTGGTTCAGCAATGAATAAAACGTTATCATTAGCTTCCCACTACAGTACTAAGTTACATCACTTTTTCACTCTTACCAGTAGAGTGCAGCATCTTCATGACTAATGTTCTTAAAACATTTTGCTTTTCTGGGGGGAACCCAGTTGGCTCCCCGGAGCTATATCAGGCTGATATGCTAATGTCAGACTTTGACATCAGTCATGTGTATGGAGTTCTTAGGGCCTACCAGGGACCACGACCAGAACCTGGCCCCCTCAGAAAGGCAAGGGGGGCAATGGCCTATAGAAACCCCCCGTGTGGTTGGAAGCATTCTATGTCTGCCATCAACCAGGTCAAGCATCCAGAAAGGTAAGCGTCCCAAAACAAACCCCTACTCTGGTTAAAATTGCTACCAAAAGCCGAACAAGTGGATAGAACTCCCCAATAGAAAACAAGCAAACTAGTATGACGTCACACGTCACTGTGCCGCTATCTGCGCAGCTCCCCCCTCCCCAGGAGGGGAAAGAGGGAGCCCCAGACCTCTCATGCCGGCTATCCACCCATCAGTTCTTTGGCTGATGCTAAAGGCACTGGTTGTGTGCTCTGGCTCCAGTAGTTGTTTCAGCACTGTATCTAGTGTGGTGACTGTCTTCTAGGTGGTGCGTGAGCTGGGAGTGAGTCTCCAGTACTCGGGCTGCATGCGCCTAGGGTTACCTTCCCTAGGTGCCCTGTTAGTACTGCCCTTGGGGCTTGGGGTTACCTTCCACAAGTTCCTTGGGTCTTGCTTCTTCTAGGCCATTTTCTGTTTGGTTTTCGGCCGTCCTTTGTGTGCTAGGGGGTTCTGTCTCCCTTGTTCATCTTAGAGTAAGGGGCAGTTTGCACTGGTAGGGATGCAGGGTACTGCACAGGTTGTTTTCACCAATCATAGCAGCCGGCTCTGTTCCGCCTGGGTACGCTGTCCTCTTGTGTGGTTTTCCATTTCTTTTTTGTTTGTCTGCCTGGTGGTGGGGGTCGGCCTTTGGTTCTTGGCCCTTTGTACTGGGTTCTCTTCCTTCTTCCGGTGGTTCCCCCTGTTAGGTTGCTGTGAGTGTACACGTTCAGGGGGTTCAGTTCTTAGAAAGTTGTTTGGTAGACTTGGGCGCCGGTTTGCAGTACCCTGTCTGGGATTACCTGGGCGTGAGTCCTTTTATGGTAAACGCTCAGGATCCTGGGAATCCCCTAGGGGCCCAATGGATGTGGCCCCGGAGTCCCCCCCTCGCTTGTGTGAGTTCGAGGGTTGCTCTGTCCCCTTGTCTCAGGGTGACTCTCCCTGTTTTGCCTCCGTCTGCTGCCTGTGGGGTCGGTGACACTTTTGGCTCTGAGTCCTGCGGGTTTTGTTGCTTGTTTATGACTCGGTTACCCTGTCTTATGCTGACTATGTGGGTACAGGCAGCACGGGCGTTGCATGTTACGTTTCGGTGGCAACGTGCTAGGTTGTTACTCCCCGGATGCCCCGAGGCTGCCACGTTTTGTTGGTGGTCTTGTCGGGTCCCCCTTCCCCCTTCCTCCCTGCATCCGGGTCCTTACTATCTGTGGGGTCGGGGTCAGGGCGGGGCTTCCATGGTTTTGAGACTCAGTTGGTCTCGGGGAATTCCCCTTCCGGGGTAGCGACGGGGGCATTCGAGCCTCTTGCTCCAGCCGCGTTGTATGAGTCTGCCAGTGGGCTCCCTTCCTTGGTGAGTTTCACGGCTGCCCCGGTTTTTTCTTGTGAGACTGGGGCTTTGGGGGGACAGCTCAGTCCAGGGGCCTGCCATGTGGGTTCCCGGGGCCGGGGTGGGGCTGACATGGGGGGGCCCTCAGGCTCTGTTGGACCCCACCGGGGTTTTTCTACTCTCTGGGCAGGGCTTGCGGTTACGCGGAGTGGGGTTTTTCCTTCCCCCACTCTCCGCATGAGTTGTTGGGCGTCAGCCCCTCCCCGGGCTCGGTTCCTTGTCCATGAACCCTTTAACTGCGCAACACATCATATGATGTGTTCAGTGACTTGCAGTAACTTGCACTCCACGTCATATGAGTACTATGCAAAATTTAAACGGCCCGCGGATACACTGGGTTCACCACGCCTTCATCAGGGCTCTTGTAAACAGGCGCCATTTTTTTTTTAAATCATGGGCCAAATTCCCGGGTGTGAGGGGCCTCAGTATTGAGTGAGCTACCAAGCCTGACGCACGCAGCATGAGCTCACAGCACTGCTGTTCAGCTTGTGACCACAGCATCGCCTAAAAATTCCATAATATACATGTTCTTGCTATTATTTAGCGATTATATTATTACAGAAGACCCCTGACTGTGATAAAAATGACCAGGATTCTGATAATAGCA